AGCTACCTGAAATATTAATGTTTTCTATATTCATGCTTTCTTAATCAGTATCAACTGCCCTGTTCACAAGAATGTTGTCGAGCGCTCATCGTCATTTCAATATCGACCATTCAGCCTCCTTCGTACTTCAGCAAACGTTTTGAGGCTATCATGATCAAGAAACTTATTCATCACTTTCTGAACGACAAACAGTATAGTTTTCGCTAATCAAGATCCACTGCTGATGTCTTTCAGTGATTCCCAAACGGTGTGGCGTGCCTCAGAGCTGCGGGGGAAGAGGATAACAGGTGAGGCAGAATGACTGAAAGACAATCAAAGATTTAGAAACTGTTTCAAAAATTTCATATGCCAAAAATAAATATGATTTCAAAATTTAAAATATTATTAAGGATTACTTGTAATTGCATGCAAGAGTCCCAGTATAAATTTTATCATTGTGATATTTTATATATTTTTTATATAAAGTGTTAAGAATATAGTAATTAGGGTCCACAAATTGGTAGAGAGAGTTATCAATGATAATGTTCTGATTTTGAATCTGACGTTATCTCCATTTAATCCTCTATCTTTTTATTTTTAGATATGCTTTTTCATCGCATAACATTTGGTATGTGGCGAGTAAATTTTCATTCTGAAAATGCGGCCCAGAGAAAACAAAACTTAGGAACGACTCATCTACATGAATGACCGCTTGGGAATACCATTTCCTGCAAGCTTGGATATGCGGGTGGTGTAATGGGTTAATGGCTCGGAATTTTTAATCTGGGAGACGAGTTCTAGTTCCCATCGGTTTCTTTATATTCACTTACGCCCGAATACCCTGGGAAAGCTATGAAGCCCCCTCTTCTACATTAATTAGTAAGACTTTTATCATTAAATCATTATTATTCTCCACGCACTACAAGCTAATAATATTTTCTGGCTTTAAATAACCTGAAAAGAATCAATCAACCAATGAAACACTAATTAGCTACACTGGCACGTCTTTTATATTTATTTATATTCTCTAATATATATATATATATATATATATATATATATATATATGAACTACCGTGGTCACAAAATGAGGGATCTGTTTATATATTGCTGGACATTTAAAATTGATCCCCAACTTTATATACAACCAATAAAATACTGATTATCTACACTGGCAAGTCTTTTTAGATTTATTCACATTCTCTGGAACATATATATATATATATATATATATATATAAACTACCGTGCTCACAAAATGAGGGACCAGTTTTATATTGCTGGAAATCTAAAATTGATACCCCATTTTATATACACATAATTTCTTGTTTATGAAATTTCGATTAGATATAAATCCACTTCTTCCCCAAGCTATGGGTAAGACAAATCTCGCTAAACTATTAACCCCAAAAAAAGAATTATTACAATCTAAAAACATTCCGGCTTTAAATAACCTACAAAGGGTTGATAAACAGTAAAAAATGAATCAGTCAACCAATGAAATACTGATTAGCTACACAGGCATGTCTTTTAGATTTATTTACATTCTCTGGAATATAAACGTATAGAAACTAATGTGACCACAAAGTGAGGGATCAGTTCATATGTTGATTATAATTAGAATTGATCCCCCACTTTATATCTACATTATAATTTCTTGTTTGTTGATAAGCCGTAGAAAAAAAATCAATGAAATACTGATTAGCTACACAGGCATGTCTTTTAGATTTATTTACATTCTCCGGATAAAATGTATAGAAAACACAGTGTCCAAAATTATGGCTTTAAATAACCTACAAAGGGTTGATAAACAGTAAAATAAAAACGAATCAGCATCTTTCTGGTTTGTTTTTTTCCTCTGATTTCTTTTCTCTCTGGCGGTCTCTTTCTTAGTTTGAACCATTTTCACGTTTTTTTTTCTTCTTTTTTTATATCTGTCCTCTCTCTCTCTCTCATTTATCTCCCTATCTCTCTCTCATTTATCTCCCTATCTCTCTTTGTAGCATGAGAGATAGCGATAAGGTTAAAGCTACGGAGAGTGGTCACGTGACAGCCACAACATTTCTCACTCGACTCTCTGAAGTCATGGCATTTCAAAAGCTCTCATATGTTTCTCTTACGAAATCCTATCTTCATGTTTTTGTTTTTCGAATTTTTCTTTTGTGTTTCGTTTTGTCCATTGTTTTTTTGGTCTCGTTCAATTCTTTTTCTTTCTTTCTTTTCGTGTTTTTCGTAATTCTATCTTGGATTTGATGACAAAGAAATTACATCACTTATGTCGTGATCTGTCTGCTGCCGACCGAATTAAATTGGGTAAAATAAAGAGCTCAATGTTCCTGATACCTGCAAATGCTTAAGCCACACAAATCGATCCCGATTGAAGAGCTTATTGATTAGTCCATTGAATTGTAACGGCCTTTGTTGTTAGTAGCCATTTCCAGAGAACCAGTCATTTTGTTTTTGTCTTAGCACGCCAAACACACTCAAAATGGCTCAAAAAGCCGACATGTCGAAAATATACGAGTCTTCTTCTTCTTCTTCTTCTTCTTCTTCTTCTTCTTCTTCTTCTTCTCCTTCTTCTTCTTCTTCTTCCTTTCCTCATTCTTCTTCTTCTGCATTCTTCTTCTTCTTCTTTTTCTTCTTCTTCTTCTTCTTCTTCTTCCTTTCCTCATTCTTCTTCTTTTTCTTCTTCTTCTTTTTCTTCTTCTTCTTCTTTTCTTCTTCTTCTTTTCTTCTTCTTCTTCTTCTTCTTCTTCCTTCTTCTTCTTCTGCATTCTTCTTCTTCTTCTTCTTCTTCTTCCTTTCCTCATTCTTCTTCTTCTGCATTCTTCTTCTTCTTCCATGTCTTCTTCTTCTTCTTCTTCTTCTTCTTCTTCTTCCTTTCCTCATTCTTCTTCTTCTGCATTCTTCTTCTTCTTCCACGTCTTCTTCTTTCTTCTTCTTCTTCTTCTTCTTCTTCTTCTTCTTCATCATCATCATAATCTATTACTTTCATGATCTTTTTCTAATCTTTTTCTTCCTCTTTTTCTTCTTCTTTTTCTTCTTCTGCTTTTTCTTCTACTTTTTCTTCATCTTCTTCTTCATCATCATCTATCATTTCATGAGCTTTTCATAGCCTTCCTCTTCATCTTTTTCTTTTTTCCCTTTCTTCTTTTTCTTCTTCTTTTACTTCATCTTCTTCTTCTTCTTTTTCATCTATCACTTTCATGAACTTTTCATAACCTTCTTCTTCATCTTTTTCTTTTTCTTCGTCTTCGTCTTTTTCTTCTTCTTCTTCTTCTTCTTCTCTTACTTTGTCTTCTTCTTCTTCTTCTTCTTCTTCTTCTTCTTCTTCTTCTTTATCTATCACTTTCATAACCTTTTCATAACCTTCTTCTTCTTTTTCGTCTTCTTTGTACGGTTTCCCCGAGGAAGTTGGCGATCATGGCGCTCCACAGTTTCCTGTCCTTTGTAGACCTTAATAACTTTCGTCTTTTTGCCATCTTTCCCAAATCCGTCTCTGCCATCAATTCACTGAATTTCCCGAAGTATGTAATATGTTTCATTCATCTGTCGCCTTGACACTTATCGAAAAACTGTTTGATTTTTGAATGAACCCTGACCTCATTCTCTTTCCACGCATTGCATTTGTTTTGACCTTGTTTTTTTTACACCAAACTGATTTAACGTAATTCACATATAAAAAATACGATTTATTACCATACATTTTGTTATTTATTAATCCAACAAATTTTATTAAATGTTACCTTTAGTGGATACCAATATTAGAGTAGACGTTCCGTTTATATATTAATTTATTAGCACCTACTGGCGTGAATATTCAATATATATATATATATATATATATATATATATATATATATATATATATATATGTATAAAGAAATTTATACATAAGAACGTATTATAAATTAATAGATGTAAAATATGTGTATTTTTCGCTAAACACTTCTAACCATGTTTCAAAATGGAAGCTAAAAGCTCCGAATTTAATATTGTAATTAAATTAAAGACATTAGTTACATTTCATATTCGCTTGAGGGTGAAATGGAACTAATGTCTTTAATTTAATTTCAAAATTAAATTCGGAGCTTTTAGCTTCCATTTTTGAAACATGGTTAGAACTGTGTAGCGAAAAAACATATTTAAATCAATTAATTTATAATATTAATGCTCTGTAAATTTACATTGAGCACTATTTTGTAAAAATAAAAATATATATAAGAACACAGGATTATATATCTTACTGTTCTTTCTTTTTATTTATATATACATACATAAGAACGTATATATATATATATATATATATATATATATATATATATATATATATATATAATCTGCAATCAACACCATCACTTGACAAGACACCAGAAGTGTTGAAACAAAATGGCTATTTTATAGTGATGTTATAACATGTTTATGTTTTAATTTTTTGAATAAACACTATATATATATATATATATATATATATATATATATATATATATATATATACATATTTTTCATTTGAATATTTTGTGTTGAATAATCTACACAAATTATGCCCATTATAATTTTTATACATTAAAATTCACAGATAAATTTCTTGATTTTGTCGTTAAACTCATTAAGAAAGGCGACGTAAATCTTCATGATGAATTTCTAAGACAAAATATTAATGTAATTAATAGTTTGTTTTTTTTTGTACATGCGCATGAAACTCGCTCTGTTGATTCAAAAGTTTATATTGTCATCTCATAGCAATCTTCTTTTATGTTGGATATCTTTGTTTAAATGTCCACTCTGAAGATGGCTCATGTGAGCCGAACGCTTCGATCAAGGAACAACTTAATAAAATAATATCCAAATGTTGGACAATTTTTGTCTTTATTTTCACCCAAAATTAAAGCAAATATACGGAGTTTAGAATGGCTCATGATCAAACATAATAAACATTCCTTGTCTGTTATATTTAACAATATATGTTTATACATAATGTAATAGATAGTTGGAATTTTTTTTTTTTTTTTGTAAATGCGCATGAGACGCTCTGTGTTTACTCAAAGTCATCTAAGGGAGGTAAACTCAATTTTTATTTGTAAATTTAAAAACAAATTAAAATTAATTATTTTAAAAATTACTGTTACCATTGTAATTTTTTCAAAAATTTACAAGTTAGGGATTTTAAAACCTTGCTGTTATAGACATTTTAAAACATTGTTGCTATATTCATAATTAATCATATTTCGTGTTAGTTGTAATTTTCTTATATAGACGGCTTCAAGAATTTGAAGCTTTTTTTTCAGGGTGGAGTATACTTGCATTACCAATTAATATTTCTCTAAATAATAAATGGGGATAGGAATATTCCTTTAAATGTTGGGCCATCTTGACAGTGTTGTTGTCGTGAAACTAACATATATATTTATTTTTTTGACAGAGATACAATCTACCAAAGGACATTTAAGTATGACAAAGTAAAAAAGTGATCATATCATGCCTTTCGGCAGAACTCCATTGAACGAAACGCGTCACACGAAAACCTTTTCCACTTTGGCATAATTTTTTCCTCTAAAATTAGTCTTGAAAAATTATATATTGTTATCCCATTTATATATATATATATATATATATATATATATATATATAGAGAGAGAGAGAGAGAGAGAAAGAGAGAGAGAGAGAGAGAGTAAAACTACAGGGTGCGATGAGTAAATTATTGTCATTTTATATTTTTTTATTTCGCGCATATCTCTGAAAAAAAGAGCATCACTGCGCCAGAAATTTCGAAACGGCATGCTGTACTGCTTGGCATTCGTACCGGAAGCTCCAATACAAACATTTCCGAGCGTTTGGGTGTCAATCTGTGAAAAGTGCAGAGGATTTGGAACGAGTTGGCTGATATATTCAGTCAACATTATTGTCTTTGGAGTGATCACTAGTAATGTCTCCATTCATCTTCCCACAGGGCGTCAGACTCAAAAAAAGAGGTCTGCATCAAGATCAAGTGGTTGGCTCCTGGAAGAACCTATGTCTGGCAATAGGACTCTGCACTATGCCACATAAGCAGGAGAACCCCATTCATGACTCTCAGACAATTTCTGCGACTTCATCACCCCACCTTACATCTGGTACCTTAACTCCCCAGACTACAACCCTTAATTATTATATATGGGGCACAGTTGGGTGAGGGATCAACAAAACTCTTTGTAACACGAACGATGAAATAAAGGCGGTGGTTATGGCAGCATTAACCAGTTTAAATAAGGAAATCGTCTAGAAGAGATGCAGGGGGTTGCGAAGTATTTCTAGAGGGCGTGGTTGATACCAATGACGATTTTATTGAGTAAATTTATTTTTTAGTATTTCGGGGTATTTTTTTTGTAATTTTGGTAAATATATCTTTTAAAATGAGATATCAGTATTATTTTGGCTTTGCATGATTTAGATAACAAACATCGCACTCCATATATTTAAATTGTGATATATAATCAACAATTTTAGGAATATATATATATATATATATATATATATATATATATATATGTTCCCATTTTTTTAAAATTTAATTTAAAAATTTTGGTGTCCCCCTGCTTCATGCACATGCCTAGTCTCATCAAAGTCGGAAAAACTTTTTATATATATATATATATATATATATATATGGGTAAAATAGCAGGACAGACTGGGTTCTATAGCCTTGGATGGCAACTGGTCGAGGAGAAGGACAACTCTGAATTCAAAACCTGCGGAGGGTCGTTTGGGCACCTTGTGGCACTCGGTGCACCAGGTCTCTGTATTCGTCCCTTCAAAAAGTGTGGATGGTCCTGCACGAGGCCTTCACCACTATAATCAAATCTCATGTGCCGGTGTCGGGTTGTCGGTTTCCTGGAAACTGATCTGCTTGACCCTCATACGTCGAATCTCGACGGGATAGTCGATTATATATATATATATATATATATATATATATATATATAGAGAGAGAGAGAGAGAAAAAGAACAGTAAGATATATAATCCGGTGTTCTTATAGATATTTTTATTTTTACAAAATAGTGCTCGATGTAAATTTACAGAGCATTAATACTATAAATTATTTGATTTAAAATATGTTTTTTTTCGCTACACAGTAACAACCATGTTTCAAGAATGGAAGCTAAAAGCTTCGAATTTAATTTTGTAATTAAATTAAAGACATTAGTTCCATTTCATCCTCAAGCGAACATATATATATATATATATATATATATATATATTGTCATCAACAGACAGATTGTTTCGCTGTATCACAGCTCTTCAGAGTGGTTAGACGTCCGATTGCTCCAACCCGAATGCTTCAAGCTGATTTGACATCAGTCAGAGATCCTACCCCTAGGCTATCGCCGCACGGCAGAGAGGAAGCGAAATTTTAACTTTTTTCTATGCCAAATACACCAGTGGCCCGTAGAACTCAATTCGTACTTTAAGAGTAATGCATTAATAGCAGTAGGATATTCATATGCATATATATGTATATATATGATTACATTGCTTACCACGCATCTTTGCGTTTTTTATATGGGGTTATATGTATGCATGTCTTGCTGATGTATACATCATGTATAATTTTAAATTAATAATTTTATATTATTATTAATAGGTGTATTTTTATTATGTTTATCTTTCTAGGTTTAGATTCTAAATTTGATCTCTATTTATATATTGATTTACCTATTATTTTTTATTTTCCTTTATTTTATTTTAAATAATTTAATTATGTTGGATATTATTATTATTATTATTATTATATCTATTTCTATTAGTGTTATCTTTATTAGACTATCTAATTTGAATTTGTGAGGATTATTGCTGTTTAAAATAACAAGGTCTATCGGACAATTTGCTGTAACTCTGATCACACATCGACCAATGTGCGAACTTGTTCAACCATTTAAGGAAAAAATTGTTGGCCAGGTGATTCTATTTTAGTTTTACTATTACATCATCATTTAATCCCTGTCCCTACCTTCAGTCTCTATATCACCCTATCTCTCTCTCTCTCTCTCACCCCCATCCCTCTCAATTTCTCTCTCTTTCACCCCCATCTCTCTCTCTCTCAATTTCTCTCTCTCACCTCCATCTCTCTGGCCACATCTCTCGCTCATTTCCATCTCTCGCTCTCATCCCAGCTCTCTCTCATCCCATCTCTCGCTCTCTCTCAATTTCTCTCTCTCACTCCCATCTCGCTCTCACCCCATCTCTCACTCTCATCCCATCTCTCTCTCTCTCTCACCCCCATCTCTCTCACTCCCACCTTTCGCTCTCACCCCATCTCTCACTCTCATCCCATCTCTCTCTCTCACTCCCATCTCTCGCTCTCTCCCTATCTCTCTCTCTCATCCCCATCTCTCTCAATTTCTCTCTCTCACCCCATCTCTCTCACCACCATCTCTCTCACCGCCATCTCTCTCTCTCACACCCCCATCTCTCTCATTCACCACCATCTCACTCTCACCCCATCACTCTCACCCCCATCTCTTTCACTCACCCCCATCTCTCTCACTACCATCACTCTCTCACCCTCATCTCTCGCTCTAACCCATCTCTCTCTCACCCCATCTCTCTCTCTCACTCCCAACTCTCGCTCTCACCCCATCTCTCTCTCACCCATCTCTTTCTCACCCCATCTCTCTCTCTTACCCCATTTCTCTCTCTCTCTCTCTCTCTCTCTCTCTCTCTCTCTCTTTTATGTTTTAAAAGAAATTTTACTCGAAAATCTGTTATTTTCTTTCTTACCCCGCCCTTTCTTCTCCTCCCTTCAATCAAGTATATCTCAATCCGGGTGAATTGTCTCCCTTTATTAAGAACTTTCAGTCTGTAGAGATGAATATATAAAAATATTCAAGAAATAAATTATAACAGAAATGGATCTTTTAGGTTTTATTCTTGCTTTATTATTTATAATGCTCTGAGATTTACATGGAACTCTCCTTCGATTAATATCCTCCTTGGAAATATCCCTACAAGTCACAAATTGGTATTATATATATATGAGTTTGTCTGACGATCGCTAAAGCGTGAAACCCAGGGTCACAAACTCACATCTATCGAACCAAATATGTTAGCTCTATCTCTGATATTGAGCGCTTTCTAATAAGTAACGCGCATATAATATATAAATAATTATACATATATATATTTATTTATATTTATATACACTTTACACACACACACACACACGCTCACTCACACACATATATATATATATATATATATATATATATATATATATATATATATATATAAATATATATCACAGAATTATCCTCAGAATTGCGCACGCATTTTCCATACACAGAGTTTTGCCTTTCATTCTAATCTGGAAAAGTGAAAGCAACAGACGTCCGGCGAAATGCGTCGTTTAAAGCTTTCCCACTTTGTCTCGTGATCTCCCCCCTCTCTCTCTCTCTCTCTCTCTCCCTCTCTCTCCTTTTCTCTCTCTCCCCTTCTTTCTCGATATATATATACATATGTGTGTGTGTGTGTGTGTGTGTGTGTGTGTGTGTGTGTGTGTGTGTGTCCCATTTTGTTGGTTAATTTTTTATTTCGCTTTTCTCGCTGTTATTTTTAATGTCATTCCCCCATAAAGGCTTCGAGGAAAAATGTGCGAACAGGGGTCATTTCTCAACAAACCCTCCCCCAATGTCAGCTATGGAAACATTACCGTCCCTAATTTCCCAGAATGGAATCGACCCTCCCTTTCAACTTTTCTTCGATTCGCCCGACCCTCACATTTTTTTTATGTGTTTTTTTTTATTTTGTTTTTAAAAGATACGACTACCATTGCCTGCAGGTCACGTTAACCACAACACTTTTTTCCGTCTCCCATACGCAATTCAGCCATCAGCCATCTTTCCCGATCCAAATCTCTAACACCTTTTTTTTTTTACTCGAGATGTGTGTTTTTTTTTTAACTCACTATCGTCTCATCGTTTCATGTCTGTCTCTTATTGAAGATTCGAAGAACAGCCATATTTGGAGAAAGCAGACGATAGTTAGACTGAGACGAGATTTAGAAGAGGTGATGGAATAAATTGTCTGCAAAATAGGGAACTGTTTTATTCCTTTTTATAAAGAGTTATTTAAATATGATCCATTCGTTTGTCTGTCTTTTCTCACTAGAATAAAAGATGTCCGTCTATAAGTATATTTACTTCATTTTCTTCATTTTCGCTCTCATTTAATTTTTTCAGTTTTCATATATTTCACTCTTATAGTCCTTTTGCTTTCAAATCTTCCTTCCTCGTTCTGTTCTACTTTCCTCTTTCATCGTTCCTCTGTTGCCTTGGCCCTCTTCTCTTTTCTTTCTCTTTCTCTCGGTTGCTTTGCTGTTTCTCTTTTTAAACATTCTCCCCTTTTTTTCACAAAACGATTCTTAGCTTTTTTTCGTGATTTCAAATCTTACTCGTTTCTCTTAATATTAAGGCTAATGAATTATACTAGAAATCTCCGTGAAGATATCACGGTTGCCCTATTTTCTGATGAATCTTAATTCTTCAGTTAATGATTGAATAAGCTCATGACGAGTTCTACGACAATAAAATATCCGTAGAAATTACCCTATCGCATCGTTAAATATTTGAGCTGAACAACTTTAACAAAACTAGAAAGACCCGTGATAATTTCACGGTTTTTCTATTTGAATTTTCTGATGAATCTTAATTCTTCATTTAATGATTGAATAAGCTCATGGCGAGTTCTACGACAATAAAATATCCGGAGAAATTTCCAATTGCATTGTAAAATATTTGAGCTTAACAACTTTAATAAAACTAGAAAGACCCGTGATAATTTCATGGTTTTCCTATTTGAATTTTCTCATGAATCTTAATTCTTCAGTTAATGATTGAATAAGCTCATGGCGAGTTCTATGACAATAAAATATCCGTAGAAATTCCCCTATCACATCCTTAAATATTTGAGCTGAACAACTTTCACAAAATATTGCAATAGCAATCATAAATATGAATGCTGGTCGTTATTTAAAGAAGTAAGGGAGTACAAATAAAAAGATTTGAAATAGACTTTTCCATTTCACTTAAAACGTTAAAAACTTCTCTCTTTATTTATTTCTTTATTTTTTCTTGCATTTTCTCACTGAAACCAAGTAGCGTCCCTATGTTTTTTTTTCGTTTTTCCACGCAATAAAAATAGTTTATTATATATCTATCAAACAAAAAAAAATTTCATCGAGATTGGATGAAAACTGTGGAAACGAATTGACAACATCCGATCACACACACACACGTACATACACACATTTTGAGTATTATAAATTTGCGGTTACTCTTTCTCAATAAACTTTGTGGTCGTTTCGATGTGCAGTATTAGTTAACGAGCTCCTGTGATTGGTATTACTGCTGTGTAAAGAGTTAGAACCTTGTTTGGTGCTCCATACTTATGGCCTTGTGTCTAGTAACATTTAAATTTCACCAAGCAGACCTTGAATGTTCGTCTATCATGACGAATGGTTGTTCACTGATCCATCGGTAGAAAAATGATTGGTTCCGCCTTAGAAAGTAGCTGACACCTGCTGGTATGCCCTCGTCTTTAGAAGAGTCAGTGTAAAGCTTACTTTACAAGAATCAGTTTTTACAAAACTAAAATGGAGTTCTGCTAGCATATCCAGCCTTGAAAAAGCATCTACGCGGCCTTGTGGGTGATTAATTGTTTTCTACTACACAACCCCTATCCAACTGACAAAACGTCGCAAGCTCTTCGTTACTCTACTACTAAATATCATTATAATTGTTCAGATAAGCTACAATGGTAAATTTTCATTTTAACACCCGAAATTTTTCCCAAATAGTCTTACTTCCGTGCAAATGTATATACTGAACTCAAATCAATAATTAGATATTAAAGAAACCTACCTTTTTGGATGTTAACGACCCGAATAAAATCGGACTTTTTCCTGGTCTTTCGTCAGCCATTACCGGCGTATTGATAAGTAATTAAGTGCTGAATTCTGTCGGTGGACATATACAATTTGGGCATATTTACTCCCTTCACAGTAATTTCTTGTAGTTAACTTTCAAATTAGGGTTAGGTGGTTTTTGTTTTTTTTTTTTGGTTATTCTTTTATTTTATTTTTTTGTTAAAGAAGAAAGTTAACTTTCAAATTAGGGTTAGGTGTTTTTTTTTTCTTTTGTTATTCTTTTATTTGTCGATGTTTACATATATTTGAAAGTTAGCTTTATTCTTAAATTAAGTACAAAAAACGCTTTACGGAAGCGCGTACTAATTTCTGAAAGAAAATAGTGAAACAGTAAATGACGCTCGGGTGTTAAAATGAAAATTTACCGCTACAATCTTTAGTTTCTCCAGTTCAGACCTTCACGGCTAGGGTCCTTCTGTTCTAACACTGACTCTAGTGAAAAAACTGGCTGGTTACATTCAATGCCTCTAAAACTAAACAGGTTATATTCCATCACCGCCGATCAGAACCAAACTACCGGCAGTCACGACAAACGGATGTTCCCTCGGAGGGGAATCATTGCCTTGAGAGAATATTGGGCCTCAAACTCACACCCAACCTCAAGTGGAATTCCTATATACGACCCATCGCTAAAGATGCAAGTAAAATGGTCAGCTCCCGGTACCACTCCAGGAAGTACTTGACTCCTCATGGTATCCTCTACCTTTATAAGAACCAAATCAGACCGAAAATGGTGTACTGTTGCCATATTTGGCTAGGAGCTGCGCAGACCTCACTTTCCAGTCTTTGTTGGAGAAGAATTATTTTCAACCCTTCAACCTCTCTCTCACAGACAGGATATAGCGAGTCTCTCACTGCTATATCGCTACTACCATTGAAAGTGCTCGGACAAACTGCATCTCATGGTTCCACCAGGTATAACTTTCACGGCTGGCACCCACGATGCCACTTACATCGTATCAAAACACCCACATTCCCCCCGTATTCCACTCAAACAGCTTCTTCCAGCGAACCGCTGCCTTATGGAAGAGACTCCCAAGAGGATTTTTCCCGATCGCTATAACCTTAGCTTGTTCAAGTCTAGAGTTAACCGTTATCTTCCCTTCCTATCTATATAAACTACCCCTTAACGTAACCCTCTACCTCAAGTGGCCCCCGGGCGTTGCACGGGGTGAAAAAAACTGGGGAAAAAACGCACACAGAGAATACTTCTCTCCATTTATTTCAAACTGCTTCTTCCTAAGAAACTTTATTTTGTTAAAGAGACTCTTGAGAGAATGACACTTCGGTCCCTATATTTCTAAATTCTTCTAAACGAGAATTAACAATTATCTTGACGACATAAACTCATAATTGGTACCTACTATTTTTTTCATTTTCTCTTTTCTTTTTCATGCTTTCCCTTTTTTTCATTCTTTTTCCCCTACCTCTTTCTTTCATATTTCTTTCTATTTACTTACCTTCTCTCTTTCTTTCATTTTTCTATCTTTTTACTTGCCTTCTCTCTTTCTTTCATTTTTCTATCTTTTTCCTTACCTACCGTCATTTTACTTTTTCTTTTTCTCTTTCTAATGTTTTCCTTCTTTCTTTCAATTCTTCTTTATACGCTCTTTTCTTTTTCTTTTTCTTTCTTTCTTTCTTTCTTTTTTATCTCGTCTTTCTTGTATACTTATTTGTTTACTTTCTTTTTTTTCACCGACATTTTTATTTTTATCCCCCACCCTTGTTTCTTTTCATTATTTCCTTCTTTCTTTACGGCTTTTCTTCTTTTCTCTGTTATCTTCTCTTTTATCGATCCTCTTTCTCTCTTCACCGTCTTTCTTTCTTCGTTTTCTTTTTCTTCTTTCTTTTACAATCTACTTTTATTCTTTCTTTCTTTCGTCCTCTCTTTCTTTACTTTTTTCTTTGTTTTCTTTTTCGCCTTATTTCTTTCCGTTGTTCTTTTTATTCTTTCTACTCTTTCGCTAGAATCTTTACTCCTCTTCTTTCCGCTGTCGACCGTACCACGTTGAAACACCAGTTCCCGTGTGATCAGCGAAGTTAAGAAACGTCGAGCCTGGTCAGTGCCTACATGGGTAACCGCTTGGGAATACCAGGTGCTCTAAGTTTGGATGTGTGGGTGGTGTAGTTGATAAGGGCTCGGAATTTGGTAATCAGTACCAGTTCCATCTCGGTTCGTTATATTCATTTACGAGCAAATACCCTATGAACCCACCTCTTTCCCTCCAGCTATTAGTAAGACTTTAAATTATTATTATTTCCCCCACCAAAAATTTCATACATTCTGAAAATATTTTCTGGCTTTAAATAACCAGCAAACGGTTGACAAGCCGTTTGTTTATTAAATCTGGTTAGGTATGAATTCGCCAATTACCCCCTCATCTATGGGTTAATTAATAAGACTTGTTTCACTAAATCATTATCATCTCCAAAAATACTTACAGCCTAAAAATATTTTCTGGCTTTAAATAACCTTCAAAGGGTTGACAAGCCGTAAAAAAACGAATCAATCAATGAATGAAATACTGATTAGCCACAAAGCGAGGGATCAGTTTATATATTGATTGTAATATAGAATTGATCTCTCACTTTATATCCACATTATAATTTCTTGTTTGTTTATCAAATCTGATTAGGCGTGAATTCACCACTTCTCCCCTCATCTATGGTTTAATTAGTAAGACTTGTAACACTAAATCATAATTATCTCCCAAAAAATACTTACAGCCTAAAAATATTTTCTGGCTTTAAATAACCTGCAAAGGGTTGATAAGCCGTAAAAATTGAATCAGATCAAATCAATACTTATTTTTCTCTTCTTTCCATTTCCCCCTCTTTTTCAAACACTCTCCTATAAGATACTCTCTAAAAAGTATCTCAAGAAAGAAGGAATAGACATGGGAAGAGTATATTACTCCTGTGTTCCAATTGGCGGGGGCCTGTCTGTCAAGACAATCCTTATTCAAAATCTTTTCTTTTTGCCCAAACACAGACTCCCATGCTTATTCGTAACTACTTCAACCACTACGTACTTTCCTTATCGTTGTTTCTAGCATCCTTCCCAGGAGTTTTTCGCTTGTTAACTTTCAACAGTATTTGCTTTCTCTCCCCTCCACGCAACTGCTATGCCCTTGCCCACGAACGGCTCGAACTCGTGAAAGAGACGGATTTACCAATGGGTTTTTTTTTTTATCCTATGTCTTTTGGGATTTTTAAAAAAATCGATTAAAAAATGACTCCCTTTCTTTCAGATGAACACCATGTGTCCTTTTTCTTTTCTTCTTTCTCCAGTTTTCGTTTTACTTTCGTTTCCTTTACACATTCCTGTTCTTTTTTGTTCTACTTCCCACTACTTAGTATCCTGTGCTTTCTATTGGTCAACATCGTCCCCGCCCAACTCGCTTTTTCGACTTCATTTTAAATCTCTCGCCTAACAAGATGACCTTTGCCTGCCCGGACGACGTTTTTTATTCGCTTCAAGTTTGGTTTCTTTCATTGTTTTTATGCATTTTTCGTTTTGTTGGCTTCTTTTAGCCATTTTTTTTTCTTTTCTTTTCTTCTCTAGTGTTCTCTTTTCTTTTCTTTTCTTTTCTTTTCTTTTCTCTTCTCTTCTATTTTCTTTTCTTCTTTTCATTTGTTTTCTTCTCTTCTTTTCTTCTCTCTTTACTTTTTTCTTCTCTCTTTACTTCTTTTCTTCTCTCTTTACTTCTTTTCTTTCCTTCTCTTCTTTTTTCTTCTTTTCTTCTCACTTTCTTCTCTTTTGTCCTCTTTTTTTTTCTTCTCTTCTTTTCTTCTCTCTTTTCTTCTTTTCATTTCTTCTCTTCGCTTTTCTTTTCTTTTCTCTTCTTTTCTTTTTTTGCATTCTTTTCTTCTCTTTGTTTTTCTTCGCTTCACTTCTTTTTTCTTCTTTTCTTTTTTGTTCTCGTCTCTCCTTTTCTTTACTTTCCTTTTCTCCTCTTCTCTTTTCTTCTTTCCTTTCCTTTTCTTTTTTCTTTTCTTCTCTTTTCTTCTTTCCTTTTCTTTTTTCTTTACTTCTCTTTTCTTCTTTCCTTTTCTTTTTTCTTTTCTTCTCTTTTCGTCTTTCCTTTTCTTTTCTTCTCTTCTTTTCTTCTCTTCTTTTCTTTTCTTCTCTCTTCTCTTCTTTTCGCTCTTTTTCTCTCTCTCTTCTTTTCTTCTCTCTTTTCTTCTTTTCATTTCTTTTTTCTTTTCTCTTCTTTTCTTTTCTTCCATTCTTCTCTTCTCCTTTTCTTTTCTTCTTTTCTCTTCTTCTCTTCTTTTCGTTTCTTTTTCTTTTCTTTTCTCCTTCTTTCTCCTCTTCATTCGCCCTTTTTTCTGTTCTCTTCTTTTCTTCTCTCTTTTCTTCTTTTCATTCCTTTTCTGTTTTCTCTTCTCTTCTCTTCTCTTCTCTTTTCTTTTCTTTTCTTTTCTCTTTTTTCTCTTCTTTTCTTTTCTTCCATTCTTCTCTCTTTCTTTTCTTCTTTTCTCTTATTCTCCTCTTTTCTTTTTCTTTTCTTTTTTCTCTCTTTCTTTTTTTTCTTCTCTTTTCGTTTATTTTATTTTATTCTTTTCTTCTCTTCTTTTTTCTTTTCGTTTCGTTTCGTCTTTCCTTTTTCTTTTCTTCTTTTCTCTTCTCTTCTTTTCTTTGTATTTTTTATTCATTCTTTTCTTTGACTTTGTCTATCATATTTTCACTGTTTCCTTCTAAAAACCTCGACAACTATTTTTTCTTCTCCTTCCGGGATTGCGACCAGATCACGTTGAAACACCGGTTCTCATACGATCACCAAAGTTAAGCAACTTCGAGCCTGCTCAATATCTAGATGAGTGACTTCTTGGGAATACGAAGTACTGTAAGCTTGGATGTGCGGGTGGTGTAATGGATAACGGCTCGGAGTCGGAGAGCCGAGTTCCAATTTCAGTTGGGTTCGTTCCCTTACGCTCAAATAACCTTGGGAAAGGCATGAACCCACCTCTTCTCCTCCAAGCTATGGGTTAATTAATAGGACGTGTGCAAAGAATACCATGGAACGAACATATGAGTAAGACAAAATTTTGAAGAAAAACTAAAAGGAAAGTAATACTTAACATCAAGAAGAGACAGTTGAGGTTTCTGGGATGCATAATGAGAAAGGAGGGCTCGGAGAATCTGATACTCACAGGACACATTGAAGGCAAGAGGGACAGAGTTAAGCAGCGCGTAACATACTTGGTAAGCTTTAGTAAATGGATGGCGGAACAGGGTATAGGGGAAATAACAGAAAGACAACGTTTATTAAGTGCTACAAAGAACAGGAAGTTGTGGAGAGTCATGATTGCCTACGACCTGAAGGGACACGGCGTCTAATGAAGACGAATCAGGAAAACATTTTCTTCAAAAATCTTCTTACAATCTAAAATGTTTTCTGGCTTTAAATAACCTGTAAAAGGTTGATAAAATTCTTTCCTCCTTTCTTTCTTTCTTTTTTCTCTTTCTTTCTCTCTAATCATATTAATCTTTCTTTGTACTTTCTTCCTTTCTTTCTTTTGTCTTTCTTTTCTCTAAGCATATTCATCTTTCTTTCTCTTTTTCTTTCTTCCTTCTTTCTTTTTTTCTTTCTTTTTTTCTTCTTTTTTTCCTTCGTCTTTCTTTCATTCTCTCTAAGCATATTCATCTTTCTTCTTTCTTTCGATTTCTTTCTTTCGATTTCTTTCATTCTTTCTCTCTAAACATATTAATATTTTTTTACTTCCTTCTTTTCATCCTTTCTTCTTTCTCTCTAAGTATATTCATCTTTCTTTCTTTCTCCTTTCTTTATTTCTTATTTCTTTCTTTCTTTCTTTCTTCCTATCTCTCTAAGCATATCCATCTTCCTTTCTTTCTTCTTCTTTCCTTTCTTTCTTCTTTCTGTTTTTCTTCCTTCCTTCCTTCCTTTCTTCCTTCCTTCTTTTTTCTCCTTTCTTTCTTTCTTTCTTTCTTTCTGCATAAGCATATTCATCTTACTTTCTTTCTCCTTTCTTTCTTCTTTCTTCTTTCTTTCTCTCTAGGCATATTCATCTTTCTTCTTCTTCTTTCTTTCTCCTTCCTTTCTTTCTTTCTTTCTTTCTGTCTGTCTTTCTTTTTCCTTCCTTCCATTCTTTCCCCTTTTTTCTTTCTCCTTTCTTTCGTCTCTCTTTCTTTTGTTCTTCTTTCTTTCTCTCTCTCTATAAGCATATTCATCTTTCTTTCTTTCTTTCTTTCTTTCTTTTCCTAAGCATTATTGTATTATTCTTTCCCCTTAAAACCTCTCCTTTCTTTGTCTCGACCTCATTTCATTATTTCTTTTATTTATTTCTCAGCCCCCTCCCCCCTCTCTCTCTCTCACACACACACACATATACACACGTACACACACTTTTTCTCCCGTTTAGTTTTTATTTCGTTTCGTCATCCTTCTCTTACTGCCCCCCCCCCACCGGCGAGGTCCAAGCCCTTCTCGCCCACCCTGCTACCGTCCCTATTAAAATACACGCTTCCAAAGAGACACGTGACAGTTGCTGAGACACGTGCTGAACGGTTACGCTGCCTTGAAAACTTTATCCATCAAGCAAAGCCTTATGGTTAGAGAAAAACTTTCCAAAATTCGAGGACATTCACACATCAGGCATATATATATATATATATATATATATATATATATATATATATATATATAGTGTAACCCGGATATAAGAGACCCGGATATAAGAGAAACCCGGGTATAAGAGAGATTTTCTCTGGTCCCAAAGTGTTCCCATACTTACCTAAACAAAAAAAGATCAAACCCGGATATAAGAGACTTCTTCTCCGGTCCCGAAAACTCTCTTATATCCTGGTATTGACAGACTGTTTCGCAGCTCATCAGTGTGGCTAGACATCCGGTTGCCTCCAGCTAGGGTCGAAACCCGACTGAACTGGTGTCAGTCGGTGATTCTAACCATTAGGCCATCGGCGAACGGTAGGCAGAGAAGTGGATTTTTAGCATGTTTATCTTTATAAACACGCCCAGTGACCGGGAGTGACTCAATTCGCATTAGCGAAGAGTCTCGCTATATAGCTATAATAGTCACTGTTTACCAACTCACATCTCCTCCCCAGAGAGCTCAACTGAAATTAATTTTTCAGGAGCCAATATACCGTCATCCACAGACAGACTGTTTTGCTGTTTCACAGCTCATCAGTGTGGCTAGACATTCGAACCTGCATTCTATACGGAACCGTCATTTACGCTGACATGCCTTACCGTCTCGGCCACAAGGTCGAATTTACTGCTTATAAACTTCAATCTTCCATGAATCCTGTCAAAGGACGAATATTTTCTATGAAGATTTCTCGGACATTCAGGCCGGTAAATGTTATTTAATACTGTTTATTATAAACAGAGCATTTACTTAAATAGTTGTATCTATAAAAAAAAGAACGTTAAACATAAAAATGTCTTTAATAAATAAATTGTGGGACTTTGTCCATTTCTTAATATATATATATATATATATATATATATATATATATATATATATATATATATATAGTGCAATCTGTTCTAGAATTAAAATAGATGCTTACAGACATATCACGTTGAAACATTGGTTCTAGTACGATCACCGAAGTTAAACAACGTTGAGACTGGTCATATGGGTGACCGCTTGGGAATACCAGATGCTGTGCGGGTGGTGTAATGGATTATCGGAATAGTTAATCAGAGAACTGAGTTCTAATATGATTTGGGTTCGTTATATTCACTTACGCGCAAATACCCGTGGTATTGAATCCACCTCTTCTCCCCCCCCCCACTATGGATTAATTATTAAAGCTTGTATCATTAAAATCATTATTATCTTCTCAAAAATTCTTACAATCTATATAATAAATGCGAATGTCAATGTGTCACACTTTTCAATTAAAGAGACAGGACTCTCTAACTTTCAATAGCTCATCTTCTTCTATATAATGAATGGCAATGTTTCACACTTTTTAAAATCTACTCCTAGAGGCCATAGCCTAGAATATCATACCATTTTGTAATCAAGCCGACTCCGTGAGTAAACTAAAAACATTCCAGGCTGAATCCGGACCCGCAATCCTGAAATTTTGGTTTCCCAAGTTTCCATTACTGCAGTTGTTTTTTACGTGATTTTTTTGTGATAACAATTTTTATAGATTGGAAATAAATATGGGAATAATTGAAATTAATTGCGAAATCCAGTGAAAACCACCCATGAAATAAAAGTAATTCTTTGTACAGAAAGTAAGGACCTACGTACATCAAATTGTCTTTAAATTAAGTGGTGGCAGAAGAATTATCGTTGAACTTTTAAGGGGTAAGCTTAAATATTAATGCAATACTTAAATGCAGCGATCAATTTTGAGTTCTTCTGTAGTTTATTGTTGCCTATCACATCTACTCCTCCCTAGCTATTGCGATGAAGGCCCAATCAAGAGCCCTCCGCAGGAGCTAGCTTAAATACCGCCCGATAGGGAGGTTTTTAAGCTAGTCTAATAATATTTTCTGGCTTTGAATAACTCTCAAAGACTTGATTATTTTTCGGTCGAGCTAGCCCGGACATTCAAGTGTCTATAACGCCAATCATGACGGTCCTGTATCAGGGTTGACTTACTCCATAGCCTGGTGTCCAAAACAGTAGATCATTCGCAAATTCTTGTTTTGCTCGCCAGCAGTTTCCTGCAAAGCGCATTCTGCGTTCGTAAGATTGTAGAAATATCAGGGGTGGGTTCATAGAGCTGGGATTTAGTTAAATATTGTCCCCAAGAGATGTTAAGTGTAGTTCCCAGAATCTGAGTGTAGGAATCATCAAGCTTAGACTCTAGAAATTTTAGCTCACGTCCAAGAAGTAGCACCACACAACAACACCGCTTCTACAACAGTTCAAAAGAATCTTCGTTTGGGGTTGTCTAGTAGATCAGATTACAGGCATTTTATTCAAGGCGGCCCAGGCTTTAGCTATTTTCACCTTTTCCTTAGCCGTAGAAAACGAATCAATGATTAGCTACAAAAGCCTGTCTTTTACATTTATTTACATTCTCTGGAATATAATATAATTTGGCCACAAAGAGAGGGATCAGTTTTTATAGTGAATGTAATATGGAATTGGTCTCCCACTTTATATCCACATTATAATTTCTTGTTTGTTGATAAGCTGTAGAAACAAATCAATCAATGAAATACTGATTGGCTACACAGGCATGTCTTTTAGATTTATTTACTTTCTATGGAATATAAATGTATAGAAACTACCACGGCCACAAAGTGAGGGATCAGTTTTTTATAGAGCGTAATATAGAATTGATCCCCCACTTTATATCCACATTATAATTTCGTCTGATAAGCCGTAGAAAAAAAATCAATCAATCAATGAAATACTGATTAGCTACACAGGCATGTCTTTTAGATTCACTTACATTCGCTGGGATATAAATGTATAGAAACTATCGTGGCCACAAAGTGAGGGATCAGTTTTTATATAGATCGTAATATAGAATTGATCCCCCACTTTATATCCACATTATAATTTCTTGTCTGATAAGCCGTAGAAAACAAATCCTTCAATCAGTGAAATACTGATTAGCTACACAGACATGTCTTTTAAATTAAAAATGTTGGACATCAAATTAAAATTGAAAAGCTCAACTTTAAATTTTTAAACTTCAAAGTAAAAAAGGTCAGCTTCAAATAAAATGATCAACTTTAAATCAAAAAAAAATCATCTTCAAATGAAAACAAAATATCATCTTCAAATTAAAAAAGATCAATTTCAATTCAAAAAAAGATAGACTTCGAATTAAAAAAGATTAGATTCAAATATAAAAAGATCAGCTTCAAATATAAAAAGATCAACTTCAAATTAAAAAAGACGAACATGAACTTAAAAAGATCAGCTTCAATTTAAAAAAAGATCAGCTTCAATTTAAAAAAAGATCAGCTTCAATTTTAAAAAAAATTAAATTCAAATTAAAAAAGATCAACTTCAAATTAAAAAAGATCAGCTTCAAATTAAAAAAAGATCAACTTCAAATGAAAAAAAGATCAGCTCTAAATTAAAAAAAGATTTTTCTTCAATTTAAAAAAAAAATTTTCTAAATCAACTTCAAATTAAAAAAAAATATATATATATAATATAAAAAATAAATTTTAAAATTCAAAAAGACTCTCAGCTTCAAATTAAAAATTATATCAGCTTCAAATTAAAATAGATCAACTTCAAATTAAAAAAGATCAGCTTCAAATTAAAAAATATCAGTTTCAAATTACAAAAGATCAAATTCAAATTAAAATAAAATCAGCTTCAAATTTAAAAAGTTCAGCTTCAAATTAAAAAAAAATCTGCTTCAAATTAAAAAAAAATCTTCTTCAATTTAAAAAAAAATTAACTTCAAATTAAAAAAGATCAATTTCAATTCAAAAAAAGATAGACTTCGAATTAAAAAAGATAAAAAAAATTAAATTCGAATTAAAAAAGATCAACTTCAAATGAAAAAGATCAACTTCAACTTAAAAAAGATTAGCTTCAAATTAAAAAACATCAACTTCAAATTAAAAAAAATCAACTTCAAATGAAAAAAGTCAGCTTCAAATGAAACAATTATCAGCTTCAAATTACAAAAAATCAGCTTCAAATTAAAAAAATATCAGTTTCAAATTAAAAAAGATCAAATTCAAATTAAAAAAGATCAACTTCAAATGAAAAAACACCAACATCAACTTTTAAAAAATCAGATTCAAATTAAAAAGAATAAACTTCAAATTAAAAAAGATCAATTTCAATTCAAAAAGATAGACTTCGAATTAAAAAAGATCAACTTCAAATGAAAAAATATCAGCTCCAAATTAAAAAGAGAACAGCTTCAAACTAAAAAAATCAATTTCAAATTAAATAAAGATCAGCTTCAAGTGAAAAAAGATCAGCTTCAGATTTAAAAGATCAGCTTCAAATTAAAAAAGATCAGCTTCAAATTAAAAATGATCAACTTCAAATGAAAAAAGATCAACTTCAAATTAAAAAAATCAGCTTCAAATTAAAAGAAACATCAACATCAAATTAAAAAAAAAGATCAGCTTCAAAGTAAAAAATATCAGTTTCAAATTAAAAAAGATCAGCTGCAAATTTAAAAAGATCAGCTTCAACTTAAAAAAGATCAGCTTCAACTTAAAAAAGATCAGCTTCAAATTTAAAAAAGATCAACTTCAAATGTTAAAAGATCAGCTTCAAATTTAAA